GAAGTCTACTAATCTGAATCCCGTGTGTTAGCAGGTTTATGCCTAATAGACTCCCAAACACATGGCGGCTTAACTCCACGTTACTAACCCGTTCGCTCCATCCAACGTGGGCTGAATTGCGTAAATACAGATAATCGAAAACTTCGAATCGACGGGTGTCTTCTACCCGCGCATTCAAGGTATCACAACCGAAAAACAGAACTGATCGTTCGATGGAGCAGTATACGCGACTTTTCAACTTCAGTGAAACGTCACGTCGCCGCCACAGGTGTTTCGGTCCTGCCTACGCTTTTCCAACCTTGGAAATGCGGGCGGTTATCTCCTTTCATACGCTACCGTCGTTGGTCACGCAGTTACCTAAGTACGAGAAGCAGTCTACTTGAGCTAATTCCTGACCGTCTAGTTTCAGAATGGATCTCGGAAACACCCAGACTTGTAGCATCACTTTGCACTTTGAAGGTGCAAAGCACATGCCGCACGGGACGACAGAACTTATTAATCTGTCAAGTGCGCTTTGTGCATCCTCCATACATTCGAACAAGCAAACGATGTCGTCAGCGTACTCTAAATCACAGCTTTTCTCCAGTTACCTATATTTTGGAGACCACTTCATGTGTTCTCCAGTATTTCGTCTATGACGAAATTGAACAGGAATGGCGAGATAAACCACCCTTGACGAACAAACTACTTAGTTCGTTCTAGACCCTTACACAACCGGAGGTATGTTAGTACAGTGATCTCAAAAAGTGAACGTACTTCGGGGGCATTCCCTTTCGAACAGCTTAGCGGGCAACTGAGTCGAAGGCTCCTTTAATGCCAAGGAACCTTGCGATCGACGGTGGGTATGACGCAGCACAAGGATCTGATGCAACCTAAAAGCCTGATTAATACATCCACGGCAGGGCCGGAAACCGGCTTACTGTTTACGGATGTTGGTCTCTCCTAAAGGCGTCAGACGTCGAAGTATAACCGAAGCTAGCAATTTGACGATCGGGATCAAACATATCCCG